CACGTACACGACAGGCAAAGCCACCTCACCTGGTCAGACTCAAAGAAGAGATAGAGCATGATGAAGGAGAAGTAATGAGTGTGGTTGTTGGGATATCGAAGCTGATTGGCAATTGCATTTAGGAACAGGTACCGCCCTTCTGTGTCAAGTTCCATACTTAGATACTTGAACATCTGCAAGGCCACAACATTTTGAGCCTGCGTCTCACCCGCCTGTAGCTGCTGAATAGCCTGTTATCACAATGTCCGTCAATTACATATATTCCACAGCAGCAGATCCATTTACTAAACTAGACTTACAGAAAAACGCTGTATGAAGAATAATCATTAAACCCATACCTGCATCCCAGTATATAGCACAAGCGAGTTGATCAATGGTACACTGTAACGCGTGCCCGCTGAGCTAGCCTCACTGGACGAGAGAAGCAGCTTCTGCTTCAATTCACTTAGGAATGTTGAATTCTGTTGCCTCGACTGCACAAACACTATATGAGTATCCTGATATAACCTGAAGAACCCAAAAAGGTGAAGTAGTGTGAAGAACAACAATACCATGAGGTACTCATCCACGTCATTCTTCATTTGCTTTGCTTTTAGGGCAGCATCAACCTCAGAAAGGATACAGGGAGCTTCTACTATCTCGGGCAGTAAATCAATCTGCAGGGAACGGAACACGATAAAATCAGCATACAAGATATAACTTTTCTTCAGAATATCAACATGCTGGACTCTCCACTATCATCTCGAACCTTTAAGTTTGGGGTAGAAGGATCTGGAAGCCTCATGTTCCTTGGAAAAGAACTAAGAATAATGTTCCGCATTTGAATGCAACTTGAAGGAATCACATCACAGAAAGTAAAGTGATAATCACAGAGGAACTCGGGGAAGTCATGAAGCAGCACCAGCAACACTCTCAATGTCCCTTTGTATAGGCAATGAACCTACATTATTGATAAACAAACAAGAGATAGACCAGTTTAAGAACCTTTTAAGTTAAGATCAATGAGGAAATAACAGGAGAGAAAAAAGAGTCACAAACTGGTCCTCCGAGTTCAGCATTTCTTAAAAACGGCTCAAGAAACTGGAGCAAGTCCACCAGCAGTTGTTGAACATATGGCCAACCCTTCTGGCCATTTACTGTAAGTAGTTTGGGCATGAAGCTTCTGTGGCTGACAAGCTCTAGCCATGCAAAGCTGGAAATTTTGTAAGAACATCAGTGCGGGCAGAAAAATATAAAACACAACTAATCAATCAAAGAAAAGAAGACACGTGTGTCAACCACATGAATCATTCAACTGCCCTCATAGTTCCTGATAGGTTACATTTTTTAATTAAACCATGGCGAGAAACAGGTTTATGTCCTAACCTGAATGCAGGAATTTTAAGAGGCTCCAATGCGTGGAATGCATTGGCAAAAGCTGTGAGAACCTGCGACAAATGATGGATGTTACTAATAGCAATAAATAGCAACTACTTCAACGAAACCAAAACTCACCTGAAAGTTTGCACCATCAGTCCCAGGATCCAGGGAACATAAGTCCAGTAGCCAGTTGATGAACAATCTAAAATATGGTCTCGGATTGAGTGATGTCTTTTTATCTTCTGCGTCCTTTTGAATAGATCTCACAGTGACAGCCATGATCTGCAACAAGTAATCAACATCAAACCCACTAACCTTTTTAAACAGTTAAAGTAATATTTGGATTTATTTCTCATAAGAGTATGTGTTTCCTAACCTCTGAAAGAAGAAATAACTTGCTGCTAGACTCCTGTTCAGGGAAGTACTGAAAAGACATCCATAAGAAACAAAACAAGCTTAGCCAGCAATGTATTTTGGGCTTAATCATCCATGTTACATACCATAATAATTCATGAGCATTTTTACCTTCAAGATTGAGAAAACAAGCTTTGCATAGATATCAATGATAAGAAATGATGGACTCTGAGCTTGCTGAGGAGATTGCACAGCACCAGAACTAATTTCTTCAGATGATATACAATGATCAACAGAAAGTTCCTGAAAGGAACGCCCAACTTAATAATAATGCCTCCCAAGATTTTAAAAGTGCTCATGCTAAAAAATCAAAAAGGTTAAATTACCAGAAGAATTCGGAAAAAGCTCTCAGTTGTATCATCTCCTTTAAGTAGCCCAGATTGATGCAACTGCAAGACATATTGTGAACAAGCGGTTTCATTTGCACCGGGATGATCGCAGATTTTGAACCACCTTTCAAAGAGTGAGGTCACCTGCCGAACCATACAGACCACAACAAGAAAAAAAAGAGGATAAACAACACGTATAAGAGAATGTAGCAACATAGAACTGAAGATATAACAAAATATGTAAACAAAATGCATATTGAATGATAATATCTTGATTGTGGTGATGCAAGCATTTTAGCTTTAGATTTACTCTCTTGGTGAATGAAATTTTTAAGATTACGCAACAATTCCCAAATTAACAACAAAAACCCACATGGTCTGCATCCATATTGAAGTAATGAAAGCTAGTAACATGTAGACAACACTTTACCCGATTCCGGAAACCCACAGGATCTGATTCCACAAATTCCAAGCTGGTATTCTCCTCTGTCTTAGTGGTGGTATTGCTCGCAACCTGACAACAGAGCAAACATGCCAAATGAATTTAGAGTCTGATTAAAAGCAACATTTGGTAATGAAATCGTCGGAAACCTTTTCATCCTTTGATGGCCTATCATTATTCTCATTTGCAGTTGCACTTTCAGAGAGACCAGCAGTGTTGGTAACTGGATTGCGTATGATGTCAATTAGCTGTTGCAGTGACTCAGAGGATCCGGATTTTGAGGCAAGCTACAGCCAAAACAAGAAAAAAATTGCAACATCACCATTTAATAGTGCCAAATTTCATAACATCGCATCATTATATATAATCATGCAAAACATATAAGCATCAAAACGATATTTGAACCTAACCACGATATCTGACAGTTAATGCTCAATAATAAGAGTATTTGATCCTAACCAAAATTTGTAGTTTCACGCTGTTAATTAGTATTATCTTAAAGAAATATAATTTATAATAGAACAAAGCTGTTAATTAGTATTATCTTAAAGAAATATAATTTATAATAAAACAAATACGCGAGGCTGCAACAGCAAATGCAGAAGAAAGTTAAAATTGCAACCTTTGCCAGCGCATCAACAAGACTGTGGAGCTCCGAAATGACACTTGACTCCTCAGTGACCAAGGATTGGAGTAGAGAAATAGCAAATTCAGTTGCGCTTTCTGCACAATAAACAACTAGTTAGCTACGTTCAGTGACCAGAAAAATACAAGGACATAAACAAGTATATGTTCAGCATACTGTTTCTCCCTCCATCAAGATGCTTCGCCATGTGGACATTGTACTCCGCTAGATTAAGCAACTCGCGTTGGATAAGGCCGATAGTAATATCTTTGTTGAGCTTCCGCTCCTCCTCTGAATAAATCACCTGTTTCAGGAAGTTTGAAGAAAGTTACACAGTTATAACTAACATTGCCAAATAAATCTCATTTACATAACGATTTGAAAATAGTTCATGTCATATCTTATCAGTTGCTCCAACTACAGGAAATAGTGGGCATATTTTTAGAAAAATATCACAAGCAACTAAACGAAAAAACGAAAGCACATAATATAATTGTGAAATACAGTGAAGATATGAATACTTAGATGTTGAAAAGGTTGCGAACATACCCAGCTAGTGAGCTCTTTAACGACAAGCTTGCAAACATCACGAATAGCCACAAGAATTGCTAGGTTAGCACTGACGTTAAGGTTACTTGATGCATTCTCATAAAGAGCCTTAAAAGCTCTTTGAGCAACAGCCAAAGCCGCTTCATCTCTACTTATGCATCTGAGGATAATTT